CTAAACCGCGGTTCTCCTTTCGCTTCCTCAGTACATCGCTAATTTAAAAAATTTTTTTTTTTTTATTTGATCTCGTGTAATATATCAAAAAATAAACTTAAAGACCTTATTATATAATTATACATACAAAGGATTCAATGCGATGAGTGCCTTATACCACATCGCCCAGAACGAGAGCCCCGTGCTGCAGTCGAATCACTGGTTAGTGTCTGTAGAAGAAAAAAAAAACAAGCATATCCCTGTGTTGGTAAAATGTTCCCTTCGAAGTCGCTGCTACGCCATCGCAATTGATTTAATAAAATTCTGCTTTCGTTGTGTTTCAGGTCTGATTATTTCCGCAATTTTGTGGACTCCTGTTTGCAGAAGCTCTCCCCGGATAGACCTACCTCTGATGTGCTTCTCAAGGTACAAGACCCCAATGCAGTGTTCCCTCCCTATATCGCGGTTCTCCTTTCGCTTCCTCAGTACATCGCTAATTTTTTTAAAATTTTTTTTTTTTTTTGATCTGATCTCACGAAATATATCAAAAAATAAACTTAAAGACATTATTAAATAATTATACATACAAAAGTTATCTTATACATACAAAGGATTCGGCTTTAAAAATGTGTGTTCTCGTTTTGAAATTGAGATAAGCGCATTTGCAAACGACCGCTGGTAGCTTTGTTTACCGAGATGACGTCGTACACAGCGTACTATTGGCTAATACGATGCCTACTCGGTGTACTATTAGTTAATTGAGCATGCTTTTCTGTTCCTCACTCTGATTGGCTCATGCATCGTAGCAACTCTACTGTGGATATAATTGTGTGGGAAAGGGTAATACAGACTAGGGAAGGTTGATAACAGTGTGGGGGGAGGTTCGTAAAGGGTAAATATATACGTAAAAAATATAACAACTATCTCGCCTCTACTTCACGATTTTTCTCATTTAGTGGTGGGGCTTGGAACGCAACTGCTTCCTATAGGAGATGCATCACTGTAATTGTTTTTTTATGTTCACATGAAGCCTGTCTGTCTGTCTTTCTTGTGTGCAGATACGTTCAGGAAAAAATGAAAGACGTGTGTTGTGTATCCAAATGTTTTCTATGAAGTAGTATTTCAAAAGCTAGTCATGAACCTATTGATGAAAAGCAAACAGCCCAGATGAGGAGTGTGATGGACAACCAGTCCATAACACTAGGTTTTACATTTCACATGAAGCCTAAAAATACCGTTAGGGATAAAAAAAAAAAGAATTAGACCAAGAAATGCAAAATCAGTGCCAATTTGACTCCATTTTTATTCATCTTTAACATGTAGTTCTGAACTTACCTGCTTTTTTGTCATGAACCTATTTATTAACATTATAACCTCTATTTGTTTTTTCTTCACCATCACTACACCCAGCACCACTTCCTATGCAGGGAACGTCCTGTGACGGCTGTGATGGACCTGATTGCACGCACCAAGGATGCTGTCCGTGAGCTGGACAACCTTCAGTACCGGAAGATGAAGAAAATCCTCTTCCACGAGGCACACAACGGTCCTGCCCCTGAAGGAGGGGATGATGAGGAGGTAAGAGCAAGACACGGGTACAAGATACCTCCTGATAATGATAATGATAATTCCGCTAATCCTGTTTTAAAAAATTTTTTTTTTTTTTTTTTTAACAGGATGTGGAGCAGTATATGCTGCGCACCGGCACAGTCAACAGCATGGAGAGCTCTCACTCTCTGCCGTCCATGTCAATCAGCGCCAGCTCCCAGAGCAGTTCGGTCAACAGCCTGGCAGACGGCTCTGACGACAGCGGGGAGATGGCCATGATGCAGGAAGGAGAGCACACCGTCACCTCCAACAGCTCGGTCCTGCACAAACCGCTGGTCAGTTCATGTCATTTAACTCAAGTTTCACAGGAGAGGCCCATGTTCCAGACCGATGGTTGCAATGTACCATAGACATGACAACTTCATCTTTGTCTAAACCAGGCCTGGGCAAACCTTTTGACTCGCGGGCCAAAATGGGTCCTAAGATTTGACAGGGGGGGGGGCCGGGGTCAGGAGCAGTTAGATGGATTCGGATAAACTTGAGATAAATGACATGTTATAAGTCATGCATAAAGGCTAAACTGCTTAAACGCTTTTAGCCTTTTATACACAATCTACTGGGGAAATGTGGGCATTGCAGGGAAAAGGCAGAATTATAATGGTAATATAAATTAATAACGTAATTTAGATAAGTTTGGCGGGCCAGATTAAAAATCCAAGTGGGCCACGTCTGGCCCCCGGACCATAGTTTGCCCATTCCCGGTCTAAGGCCTTTGGAGAAATACGGTAACTAGCTAAGGTTGCTAGCATTAATTTCAGTGTGAGCTAATTTTGGAGTATTCTGTTCGTGACTGTAGCCACAAAAGATATAAACAGAAATTCTTTAGGATTAAATACAGGAAGCGGTGTCTGTAAAGGACACACAAACATTTAGTGTACCCATAAAATATAAGTTGACGTTACTGACGTGAAATTATGTAAAAAGTATGAGAGCATAATATAAAATATTATTAATTATTTTTTTATTTTTTTTATTATTATGATCAAATGTTATGTGTAATCATTAGGGTTATTAAATGACCCAAAATCTCTTGTTGCTGTTCTCCACTATTTAGAGCCATGACAACATATACGACGATCCCTATCAGCCTGAAGTTGACGTACAACGTGAAGCATCTGCCGGCGGCGGCGGCGGTGGCAACGGAGGAGGCGGCGGCGGCGGGGGGGGGCGGCGGCGCCGCGGCGGGGGACCAGTTGGGA